TCATCATCATCATCATCGTTGTCGTCATCGTTGTTGAGCCGTCCATGAACCACGACGTCATCAGCAATGAATCGTCGACGTCTACCGATTCAACCAATTCACAGGGATACAGAAAGTTTCGAGTTGGATGCTCAGAAAGAAATGATTATGGACGATTCGGTGGAAAACAAAATCATCGGACAAATGTAAGTATTTTTTGAAATATGAAAAATACATTTTCAGCGGTAGTGACCCAGCTTTTCAGAGAGAGCGTTTCGAAATGGAATGCATTTAAAAGCCAGCTGGACCTTATTGAATAGCTAATTAACTGACTGACTCACTTGAAATTGGGTGAATATCGTTAGTCTGGAGCCGCGGTCATCGCGTGCAAATTAGCTGGGTTTCTTCTACCTAGTTGACAGCCGGCCTCGTTAAACCGATTAGGTCCTGGTGCGAATGCTACGCATGTGACTACGACTTTGCGTGCCTCTTTTGCTGTACTTGTCGCGACGCGGGCTTAACGATATACACTTGCATCAGGTGTGGAGCGTTAGTTTCTTAAGAGTTCCGTTTATGCACTTGCATCAGGTGTGGAGCGTTAGTTTCTTAAGAGTTCCGTTGGGAAGATAGAGTTGACCAGCAGCGCCGCTGCCATGCTGAGTGGGTTGGGTCCTGATGCGAATGCTGCGCACGCCACCCTGCTTGTGACGTCTATTTCGCCGCGAGCATATCATCGTCGGAGATTCGTTACTGATGGGGAAGGGGCCGCAATCAAGCCTCGTGGAAGAGATAGTGTTAGGGCTCTCGTGAAAGGCGTCATTTTTAGCATGGCGAGATTTCCTTGAGTGTCCCTTCCCGTTTCTGGCGTATTAAAAAAATCCCATTGCAAATTTGTGAGCTGCCTTGGAGGTGAGAGGATCGACGAGATCTGGTGAAGTTGAACTTCGGATTGGAGAAAGATTAAGCTCCAGGGAAGGGTGATGCTGAACGGTCAGTCCTTCTTCGTTGTCATGGCCTGTTCTCGTCGAAAGGCCTAGTAGGTGGAATTTGCCCGTACTGGTGTGCATGGGGCCTTTTTTGTCGCTAGTTCAAAAGGATTGATCTGAATCGCCACAGGGACATCACTAATGTGCGGTTATTAGGAAGCTTCCATGTTGACCAAATGACGTCTAAAGATTAATCGGTCAGAAGGCAGGGTGTTGTTCCACTGTGGAACAAAGTAAATATAGGAAATATTCTTCGTTATCACCAGGTGATCAGTGTCCAGACGAGTGCATTAGTCAAGCGCTACTCAGCCACACCGTAGTCTGGCTAAGCTATGAAAGTTTGAAACTTAACGGTAAAGCAGGTTTCGAAGGCAGACGTTTGTGTGGTATAAGTTTTTGCCGAACCTGGGGAAGGCTCGAGGCTGGAAAGGTCACGATCAAGTAGTAATGGATATAATAAAGTAATAATAGGGTAATAATAATGACAATATTTAGCTGAGAGGGCTCCCCTGGTTGCGCGACGGACAGCGCACTCGGCCGGTGAACGTGAACTGAGAGTCGAGTCCGGGCAGGGTCAAGATGGCTTTTTTGTCATAGCCTTACAGGTGTGAAGGAGGACTCACATGCTGAAAGTTTAATGATTTGGCCTAAGTCTTTCCAGCTTGAACTTAATACAGTTCGCCATTATTGAAAAAATGTTCCAGACCTGACCAAGGTGCTTCGCAGAAGAATATTCGGCGCATTTCGGCAACGGGGTGGGGGTGGGCATTTTGCACTTTCTCGGCTTCCCTAGTTGCCTCTCTATGTGAAACATGTGAACTATGCAAAATCCCTCCGCCCCACCCTCCTCTCGTCGCCGAACTCCCTCTAGGATATTTCAAAAACTTCTTGAGGTTTTTGGATCTTCTGAGCTTTTTGGAATAATTCCTGGGGTCTCAAATATAATACAATCAGGTCACCGTAAAACTTCGACAGTACTCAGAACAATAGTATCTTCGAATAATGATTCATATGTCTCTCTATTATTCAGAGGAAAAGTAAATAAAGAAAATAACAAAAGAATAGGAATTCAAAGTAAAAAGGAATAGGTAGTTTAGTCAGTCTTTACCTCGCCAAACGTATATTTTTGAAGACAGAACGAGCCCGCTTTCGTTGACTCATGGTCACTGCGACGCCCCTCGAGGTTATAGTGAGGCAAAAGATCAAGTGATAACCCTAGGAATCCGAAATTCTCCGTAGTACGTAAGAAAAACCTGAGTTGCACGTAGTACGAAGAAGATTTCGCAACGTGTAGGTTGTACGACGAAGGAGTGGCTCGAGAAGAGAGGTGGTCGCGGAGGGTGGTCGCGGGGGTTAGCGACAGATATCTAGTGTTTGTTTGTGTCGTTGTTAAGGGCGCACCTATTACCTACTTTATGAACTAACTTATGTCAGTAGGTTCAGCATTACTTTTAACTTCTTTAATCTTCTCATACATTCTTTTTACATATTTAACTCATTTAGGAACTACATACGAATGTTTCTTGCCGATAAATTGGTGTTTCCACCGGACACCAAAGAATACAAGTTTGAATTTAAAGATCTCGAAGAACTAGGATCACTTGGTAATGGAAGCTTTGGAACTGTGAAAAAGATGCGACATAGTTTGACCGGCACAGAAATGGCCGTGAAGGTACGTGCGCTACTACGATTTTCGAAAATCGTGCCACCAGCAAAAAAAATCGATAGTTATGCAAAAATCGGCTTGAGAACGATTTTCAGTGAAACTGCTGAAACAGAAGGGTTATAATAACATTTTGATCCGGCTGTTGGTTTGTTAAGTATATCGATTCTTTTACTAGTAGGAAATGTTAAGCTATCAGTGAAAATACCATAATTATTCAAAGGGACACTGAGTGAGAGCGAAGTCATACAAAATTGTGAAATAGAAATTCTACTAGTTTCAATCCAAAACTAATTTGTATAATAGTGTAAGAAATCATGGTTGACGTCGTTGTTATGGACAAAGCGCTCGCAGGATCCGTAGGGTCTCCTGTTTTTAGCGTAGTCCAGAAGGGATAACTGACAGCTAATTAGTGCTGGTAAGGCTGGAGCCAAGGGAAATTGCTCCTCTAATAGAGCTCTCAAGGAATCCATCTAAGTTTATAGCTGTTACGAACTTCTTAAAAGGTATTTATGGCGTTTGTACATCACGGAGCCTCAGGGGATGAGGTTAGAAGTTTTTCATAAAACGTAATGTTTTTAAATTTTATCTGGTCTTGCTTGAAACTTGATTCAATATTTGCTAAAAGGAAGCGATCAATAAATTTTTACCAATGATGCGTAATGAGTATTTTTTCCATTTACTGATTGCATCATCACAACAGCTGTTTGACGTCTGCGGTAGAAAAGTGCATCTCCTCAACGTATCATTTCCGAGCGTATTAGGTGGGGTGATAGTTTGGAGTGGGGCCCTATACGAAAACTGGGTCGCATAGGCTAAACTTATCTCGAGGCTGAGAACATTTTAGAATCCATCATCAAGGCAGTGCGCTCGGAATGTTACCTGTTGTCGTGTCGGGTGCTCTTTTTTGATAGCGATTGACTAGTTTAGTGGTTATCCCTACAGAGTACTGTTTACCTTTTAGAGCAATTTTCATAGGAAGCTGTCTGAATTATTGATCACTAGTCATTTGATACTATCATATATTGGTTCTCATTTTCCCAGTTTTGCAGGAAGTTTTCAGTATTTTCCCAAAAAGTGCCGTCGAGTGGGGGGTGGGAGAAAGGTTGGGGAGGTCGTCACTGAATCAGGGAGGACTGTACCTTGAACTAAGTATTAGGGATAGTTATTTGGGGAACAGACAGCAAGCAGGCAGCAGGCTGGGCGCTTACTGTGATTGGTTGTCGCAGCGATGATGCAGTAGTAAAGTACTTTCACACATCGGGCCCATTACCATGAATGTGCGCAGTTGACAGCAGGGCATGTCCTGCCACTGGGTAAAAATACCGCAAAATACAACCCCCTCCCTGGTTTCCTGTTATGGGCCCCTTCCCCAGCCTACTTACCATCTTCCTAAAGCCTGACTTCTACTTCTCACCACGCTTCCGCAATTTTCCCTGGATTATCCAACTTTTCAAAAAAGAAACTGCCGTTGAGGGAGACCGGGGCTGCGGGAGGGGGAGTGTGGTATATAGCGTGCATATAATTGGTAAAACCGAAAAAAGTCATTGACCGGAAGCATTTTCTCGAAACCAGATAGTACTTCCCTCTCCCCAGCGACCATATGCGACCCCCTCGCTTCTCGTTGTGGGATCCCCAAAGAATGACGTGTTCTGGACTGACAGTAACCTAATTAGGTTCTCTTTTACCTTAAAGGAATAGAGCTTTTGAAGATTGACGTTTTGAATGGTTTTTTTAATATTTATATTGTTTTGTTTCAGCGTGTACGGATAGTCAGTTCGGGTGTAGATGACGTAGCCAGTTGCCGTTCAATGAAAAGGCTTCAACAAGAAGTAGACGCCATTAAATCGGCTAGTAATTGTAAGCAAATCGTCCAGTTCTATGGAATAACGTTCCATGAGGTTCGTCTGAAATAACTTTTCTGTGGTCTTGAAAAACAATATCGTAGCTGCCTCCTTCAAACTTCCTGTTATGAGCCACGCATTCGCATTCTATTCGGAATCGTGGTGTCATTTGAAGAAACGATGAGCTATGGAAATGTGAAACATTGCTTGGGAAATGTAGTGTGGTTCACAAAAGGCAACTCTGTGTCAGTGTCGCGGCAGAAAGCTGTAAGCACAAAAACGCTTTGAACGCTCAAGCGCAAAGTTGCTCCACTGGGACCTCCTTTTTCCAGTGACTCCGCCTCCAAGCTCCGCCTTCAAGGCCGCCCTCCCCGAAAGCGATGCTATCGGACGAGTAACATAGAAGCAAGCTCCGTTGTCGCGTTTGGGGTCACAGGCTCGTTGTAAGGGGTCGAATTAGTGGACTCGTTCCAATACGCGGTCTTTTGGCCTCGTGCATTTGCATGAGGCTAGAGGGATCCTACAAGAGGCTTTTCCGACACTCCTTTTTGCTTTTTCTCTTCACTGGCGAGTCCTTTGCCGACGTCTCTTTCATATTCCAGCAGCACTACCTGCGCTTCCTATCTCGACCGAAGACAAACTGCACACTCTGCTCCGTGAATCCTAGTGGTTGCCATGGGTGATGAACGGTTCCGCAGCTGCAGTACCCTGCCACTTTCTTCGCTTGAAAGTCTACGGAAACGGAGGTCCAGGGTAGTGGAACCTGTCCGCTGTTTTCTGACCCCGCTCGCGCAGCCGCTCGGCTTGCCGCGCTCTTAACCATAGCCAGACGCGCTACTCGTCTGCGTCCTCTCACTTCTTGTTGTTCAGTGCCTTCGACCAGCGTGTTTGCTGCAGGATTTTCATATCTACACAGTTGCTGCAAGTCGAGGATAGCGCGGGCGAATTCTCAAACGGCACCCGATATCGCTGCCTTTCACCTCCTTATTTCCACGCGCTTTCGAGTGAGGAAAGTATTACTTGTATAGCTGCCAATTTGTAGCGGAGCAAAAAATCGCTTACTCATGGCTTCACAGTATACAGTATTTTTAGGGAGATGGTCTTGTTTGTATGGAACTAATGGACATTTCATTAGAACGACTTTATATGGCTGTACACGACTTGGGTTATCCTGCTTTTGATGAGAATACGTTAGGAAGTGTTGCTATCAATGTGAGGATTTTTCAGTTTTGAGAAATTTGTATTCCGTTTTGACTGTACTGATTATCATAATTACTAGTCTTTATTTCAGACCATCATTGCTTT